AAAAAATCGTGACCTATTTTTTAATACAATCACAATTTTTTGACCGTGAGTAAAAAAGCATGGTCTAAAGGTAAAAATATTGTAACTGTTTTTTATAGTATTTTTTTTAATATAGTTCTATTTTTTCTTTCTTTTATTTTAGTTCCTTATATACTATCTTTTCCATTGAATTGTGTGTCCATCATTTTATCATATTAAAATTGATATTATTGAACATGTTTACACGACAGTGATAGAATTATATATAAAGATTATATTTCATTACTAAAAAAAATATTCTTTTGTAAAACATATTTAAGTTAAACTTAATTTGTTACTTCTCTGATTAAAAAGAATTCATGAATTTCATGAAAGCGGTCTGTATATTATCTTGGATCTTATCTAAACTTTGTACATGATAGTGGCTTGCATCTAGTTCTATCTTATGTGAATATATATTATACATTTCCTTATATTGTATGTGCTTGAAAAGGAATAAACGTGAAGGCGCTTCTACATTGATGTTTGATATGATAGAGTGTTGTGTCACTATATAGAATTGGCCTTCACCTTGTCTTAAGGAAAGTAAATTCGGCAGCTAAGTTTTTAGCCCATGATTTTAATTAACCTGTCCAATTAAATAATAATTAATAGTGTTGCTTTTTGACAAAGAAGTACTAATTAATAGTTGAGATCTTATCCTCAACGACATTACCAACATGAACCATTTTTAAATTATTTATATAAATATCTTATACATGCCAACTGTGATCGCTGTTATGTTTCCCTTTGGTTTTACTCTTTTTCTCTCAATGCAATTATTCTTTTGTAGGATAATTAATTGATTCAACAGGTATAGTTGTAGCGTAAAGGAAAAACTTAACTTGGATTAGAAAAAAAAAATTGAGAAAAATAATAAAGGTGAAACAAATTGAACAGACAAACCAAATTGTGAAAAGGAACTCACTTTGTTTATCCAAATTGTGAGTATTCGAAATCTTGATTTTGTAAACACAGAAAACTCAAACTCATTTGATATCTGTTAAATCTCTGAAAGAGTTTATTCCCATGTTCTTGAGAAATACTCTTTGATAATAGAAAAAGAAAAAAACAAAAAAAAAAAAACCGGCGGAGCAATTATTTAAAGAATTCGGCAACAGAATTGGAAGGCAGATTTCAAGTAGATTATTAACTTGTTATAATAATAATTGATGTATTAAAACAAAGAGACAGAATGCCGAAAGAATCAAAGTGTTCCGTGGCAAAGAATTTTCTTCTACATGTTAATTTAAATTAATGTAATATTATAAAATATTATGTAAATTTTAAATTTCATAAAAACTAATATTAATATATTAAAATATTTTAATTTAATAATTAAATTGTTAAAATTTAATATGAATATAAATTATTAAGTGAAATAATTTTATCAAGAATGTTAAGTGAAATAAGTAGATCGTTGTAAAAAAAATTATAAATTTAATATTTATTAAGAACTTTTAATTAAGTTTTATCCTTCATATGTTTATGTTTAGAATCTCCATATATATATAATTGATTTTCTAATATACATATAATTAATTTTTTTTATAATAAAAACAAAGTATGTGGTTGTGGACAGAGAAATTAAGTGATTATATATATATATATTAAAGTAAGAGACACAAGTGTCCATCTATATTTATTTTTAAAGGGTTTTTAACGAAGATGGTTAAAAAAAATTGTAAGAAGTTGATTTTTTTATATACTATGGAAAGCAAGTGAATTTTAAAATTATATAATGTGTGGAGAAGTGAAAATATTTGATAAAAATGAAAATTAAAAGTTAATTGTTGCATCTGTGTGTGGATATATATAAATTCAAATCAAATTTAGGGATGAGAATAAGTCAGACTATAGTCTGATCTCTTTAAAATCTGACCAGACCTATTTAATAAAAAGGTTAAGTTTAGACTTTTAGAAAAGTTCCTCTATGTATTAATAAGAGAGAGACACAAATGTCCCTCTACATTTATTTTTAAAGGATTTTTAAAGATGGTTGAAAAAAAATTGTAAGAAGATGATTTTTTTTATATATACTTTGGATAACAAGTGAATTTTAAAATTATATAATGTGTGGAGAAGTAAAAATATTTGATAAAAAAGAAAATCAAAAGTTAATTGTTGCATCTCGTGTATGGATATATATAAATTTAAATCAAATTTAGGGATGAGAATAAGCCAGACTTTTAATAAGGACTTATGACATGATCTCTTTAAAGTCTGACCTAAACTGACCTATTTAAAAAAGTCTATTTATATAGAAAGATCAAACTTAGGCTTATAGAAAAGCTTGTTAAACCTAATAGATCAACCTATTAATTTATATAATATAATAATATATTATTGAAAATATAAATAGAAAAATAAATTTATATAACAAAAATAGATTATCAATATTTGAAATATTTTTTATTGAATTTTTTTTATTATAAGTTTATAAACTTATGACATATGGATGAGTATACATTAATAAACATGATTACACATGAATTGTTCTTTCAATAAAAAAATGATTCAATTTTTCTTCTACATTTTTTTTAAAATTTTAATTTTAATAATATTGAGCAAACTATATTTTAAAAATAATTTTGTTGATTTTTAAAATTAATTTTACTAATTAACATTAATAATTTAAATAAGTTAATAGGACGTGGATAAAAGAAAAACAATGACTTGAACCCAATAATGGCAACCTTCTGAACTGGACTTGGATGAGCAACTGTTGTTGCAGAGCAACTGTTTTAATGCATTATATAATGTTTTGGACATTAATGCTGTCATTAATATTTGTGTTTTTATCTTCTTCTAAACAGCTGTTTTGGTATTTATGAATGTGTTTACTGTTGAATGCCAATTGAATTGTAGGATTCTATGTACCAAAATAGTATGTTGGATGAAAGCTTACATAGTAATGGTAGGGGGGCAGAATTAGAGCGCCAAATAACATTGTGATGCAGCTAGTGAAAGTAAAACATGCTGTTATCATAGCTGAGCTGACTAAATTATCCATTAACCTATGAGTTCATGCTTCCTAAAACCAATTCATTCATTTCCCATAATCTTGTTCCAATTTGGTGATAAACAGAGACCAACATACTATCACTTTTCGGAATGAACCTGATCACACGATTCTTGTACATGCAACAGCTGGTGGAGTAGGATCTTTATTATCCTAGTGGACAAATATTACTACAATTGGTGTGTAACTGTTATTGGAACTGTATCTAGTAAAGTGAAGGAAACTCAGACCAAAGAGAATGACTACCATCATATTACAATCTATCCGGAAGAGGATTTTGTTGCTTGCATCAATTAAATTACATCAGACAATGGACTTGAATTATCTATGGTTCTGTGGGAAAGGATACCTAAGTGGAATTTCAAAATCAAACAGTTGGTTACATAAGTGAAAATAACAATAATGGCACACACTATGTCTTGCATGGCGGTATCAATGAGTATTTTTTTTCTCTTATTTTTTATGTGCACATTCTGTTATGATAGTTAACTATCCAGAAATGTAAGTAGATATTGTTCGCTTTATCATATGTTGATTGTACTGAGAGGACCCTATCGGTCACGTGGACCAACACGTGCCGTTTCATCAGACACCCATGCGAACTGAACCATACCTAAAACCCTCACGCTAGCATCGGCTCGGCCTAGAGCCGAAGGCCGAGAAGAGTCTGCTAGCAGTATCGGCTCGGCTGAAGGCCGATACGAACGGCACCATGATGCATCTCCGTACACTACGTATCGGCTCGGCCAAGCGCCGACCAAGTAAGGTAACCGAGTAAGCATTTGTCGGCCCGGCCAACAGCCGAGGACGTGCAATTTCCCAAGCCTTAGCCTGTCGGCTCGGCGATGTGCCGAAAGGTTAAACGGATTATAGTACAAATCACAGTTAACAAGGATAAGCGCATGATTAAGACATGATTAGCTGATTAGCATTGTATTACCTAATTTGGTAAGTGTCAGAAAAGGCCCACCATGGTCAAGCCCATGTCAGGTATTATAAATAGGTTGCACGTAACGAGGTACGTTACTGTTCATTATTTACCCTAGAAAATCGTGCTTGTCCTGACTTGAGCGTCGGAGTGCCTTTTGCAGGTACCTCCCCCCTTCCGAAGTATTTACCTGAAGCTCCTGTTCGGCCCTTCCCCACAGAAGATTACGAGTGTACCCTCAGACAGGTACATTTTGGCGCCCACCGTGGGGCCGAACCGATAGCTGTGAAGAGACTTTTTGAAGACATTATGGCAAAGACAAGAAGAACTAACCTTGAAGACCACCAGTCTGAAGATGAGCACCCGTCCGGGGCAGACAATGCCGAGACGGTAGAGGAGACAAACTTGACCGACATGGTGCGCCAAATGAAGGAAGACATGGCCGCCATGAAATAGCAACGGGAGAGAGATGCTGCTGAGATGGCTGTGTTGCGAAAGGAAAACGCCGCCCTCAAAAATCAGTATCGGGATCCCACATGGAAACCCTCTAAGACGACCCACACTCAAGGGTCATTCCACTCGCACAGCCATCACACCTCTATCCCTCACACTTCTGTTGCTGCCCCAGGCGTACATGCTTCGGTAGGTCGGCCGGTACAACCAATGCCGGCCGGAGCACACCGACACCCCTTCACACTAAACATTATGCAGTCTTCACTCCTGGACCATTGGAAATCCTTGCCACTCGACAAGTATGACAGTACAATCGACCCAGATGAGCACGTGGATGTGTTCTTAACTCAGGTTACTCTGAGCACTACTGATGACGCCGCCTTGTGCCGAATCTTCCCAACGTCATTAAAAGGGTGAGCGCTGAGCTGGTTTACTCGGCTTCCTGCTAACTCGATTGACTCGTTCAGCACGTTAGCTTCCCAATTCACCATTCAATTCGCTACAAGTCGACCCCACCAGTTGACCTCGTTGGCGCTAGTTAGTATCCGTCAAGAAAAGAAGGAATCCCTTCGGGCATTCATGAGCCGGTTCAACAAAGCGGCACTCGAAATCCGAGACCTGAACCCTGCTGTAGCTCTACACCACCTTACCACTGCCTTGAAACCGGGGCCCTTCGCCAACAGCATTTGTAAGAAACCTCCCACTGACATGGATGACTTGCGTCGGCGAGCCGACCAATACATGCAGATGGAAGAATTGGCTGAGTTCCAGAACCAAGCCCGAGCGGAGGTGTCGGCAAAACCTGACAAGCCAGCCGAGACTAATTTTCGGAGTCGTCCGAAAGAGCTGATTCCTCGCGAGAGGCCTCCTCGCGGGCCGAGGTACTAACAATATACGCCACTCAATACAAGCAGATCGGTCGTCCTGGAGCAAGCACTTGCCTCAGAGGTGCTAGAAGTCCCGAAACGAGCTTCGACCCCTCCCAGGGATGATACAACAAAGTCTTGCAGGTACCATCGCAATCGGGGGCATTCAACAGAGGAATGCGCGGCTTTGAAAGACAAAATTGAAGACTTAATCAAGCAGGGGCAACTGCAAGGCTTCATAGACCACCCAAACTCATCCCGATACGCCGACCGGTCTCGGCGGCACGATCAGCCTGCACAGAGGAGAACGGGAACACACTCATACAAAGAGCATAGTCGGTCAAGAGATAGGAGAGAGGACGAGCCTTCGGCACAACCTCGGCGAGTCATCAAAACCATAGCCGGTGGATTCGCTGGCAGGGGCTCATCCTCATCGGCCCAACGAAGACACCTACGAGCCGTTCGGCACGTGCATGCAGTGGAAACAGTTCGTCGCCTCCTTCCCACCATCACTTTCACTAAGGCCGACTTTAAAGGCATCGACCCGGACCAGGATGATCCGATGGTAATCAGCGTTGAAATTCACAACTATATTGTGCATAAGACGTTGGTTGATCAGGGAAGTTCAGCCGACATCTTGTATTGGAACACGTTCAAGCAGTTGGGTATTCCGGAATCCGAGTTAGTTCCTTACGATGAACCTCTGGTTGGGTTCTCAGGCGAACGAGTCAAGACAAAGGGGTATACAAGCTGTCAACCCGGTTTGGGTTCGAAGGAGCCGAATACCGAGACATTTCGGTTAAATATGTGGTAGTTCACGCCAGCACATCTTATAATATTCTCCTCGGTCGGCCATCCCTGAATCGGCTCGGGGCGATTGTGTCCACCCCTCATTTAGCCATGAAGTTCCCGGCTGAGTCAGGACGAGTTATCACGGTCCATGCCGATCAGAAGACTGCGCGAGAATGCTACTTTGCCAGCCTGCGCTTACCAAGAGTGAATGACGAAGCGCCTAAGGAGCCGAGAGGCGTTCACTCGGTGTCACAGCAATCGGCCATGGACCTCGACCCCCGGATCGATCAGGAAGAGAGGGTAGAACCTATTGAAGACAAGAAATCGGTTCAAGTGGGAATGTTAGAATCCCAAGTTACTTACATAGGGGCCAACCTATCAGAACAAGAACGATTGATTATTAGCCAAGTGATCGATAAGCAAGGAAGCAAGGCCGATCGCTCAACGGCGCTGGAAAGCCGGAGAAGAAAGGAAGGCAGCGATTGAGGCTGAGGTCGGCAAGCTGTTAGATGCTCGGTTCATCCGAGAGGTACATTATACAACCTGGCTGGCCAACGTAGTCATGGTAAAGAATCCGAATGGGAAGTGGCGCATGTGCACTGACTACACCAACTTAAACAAAGCTTGCCCGAAGGACAATATTGATCGGCTTGTGGATGGGGCATCTAGTCACAAATTTTTGTCATTCCTGGATGCGTACTCCGGATACAATCAAATCCGTATGCACCCCCAAGACGAAGAGAAAATTGCATTCATCACCGAGACGGCCAATTACTGCTACCGGGTGATGCCCTCCGGATTGAAAAACGTCGGAGCCACCTATCAGCGGCTGATGAACAAAATTTTTAGTAACCACATTGGCCGAAGCATGGAGGTATACGTCGATGATATGGTGGTAAAGTCAAGTAACGTATCTGCACATGCACAAGACTTGACCGAAGTGTTCCAGGTGCTTCGGCACCACCAAATGAGGCTCAACCCCGAGAAGTGTGTGTTCGGGGTCTCAGGCGGCAAATTTTTAGGGTTCATGCTGTCCAACCGAGGCATTGAAGCAAATCCTGACAAATGCCAAGCCATTCTAGATATGAAAAGTCCAAGTACTCTAAAAGAGGTTTAGAAGTTGGCAGGTCGGCTCACCTCACTCTCTCGGTTCCTTCCTTGCCTGGCCGATATAGCTAGACCTATCCTTCTCTTGCTGAGGAAGACAGAGCGGTACGAATGGACCCAGGAATGTGAAGAGTCATTTCGACTGTTCAAGGAGCGTCTTAGTACACCTCCGATCCTTTCCAAACCAGTTGCCAACCTTGACATGATTGTGTATTTGGCCGTCTCAGGCAGTTCAATCAGTGTTGTCCTGATACAAGAGAACCAAGACAAACAACAACCTATGTATTTTATCAGCCGGACGCTGCAAGACGCCGAGCGACGTTACCAGCTGTTGGAAAATGTGGCCTTAGGGCTCATCTATGCATCCCGACGGTTAAGGCAGTACTTCCAAAGCCACAGGATGATCGTTCGAACCGACTGCCCGGTTGCAAAGGTCCTCCGGAAACCAGATATTGTCAGCCGGATGATGGCATGGTCGGTCGAGCTCTCAGAATTTGACATATCTTTCGAGCCGAGAGGCCCGATCAAGTCGCAACATTTGGCTGATTTCGTCAATGAGCTCACTCCTCCATGACGTTTTGAAGACGAGACGTGGACCATGCATGTTGATGGGTCCTCTAATGCCCAAGGTAGTGGTGCCGGAGTAATCCTCGCTAGCCCCTCAGGAATCACAGTCGAACAATCCCTTCGGTTCGGCTTTTGTGCTTCAAATACCCAAGCAGAATTCGAAGCCTTGATAGCCGGAATGAGATTAGCAACTGAGATGGGCGTCAAGAGAATCACATGCTGGACTAACTCTAAAATCGTGGCCGAACAGGTCAATGATAACTTTCAGGTCAAAGACTCCAATTTGTTGCAATACTATCACCTCTTCCAAAAACTCAAGGACGATTTCACTGAGGTTCAGATACGACACGTCTTGCGTAGCAACAATGAAAGAGTCGATCAACTAGCTCGGCTCGCCAGCAGCCGAAAGCCAGGAGAGTTGCGAACAACCATTCACCTTGAGATTCCTTCCCCAAGTGTGATAGTTGAGTGTATGACAACCGGCACTGAAGCACCGACCTGGATGACCGCCATCCGGAGCTTTATTGTTCGAGGGGAGTTGCCAACCGACCCGGTGGAAGCAAAGAAGTTACGAACACAAGCGGCTCGGTACTCCATGGTGGCCGATGAACTCTACAGGCAGGGATTGTCCACCCCGCTGCTCAAATGCATCGACAATCACCAAGCTGACTACGTAATAAGGAAAATCCACGAAGGTATCTGTGGCTCCCACTCAGGGGGACGAACTCTGGCAGCCAAAGTCTTGCGTGCCGGCTACTATTGGCCAATCCTGAAAGGAGATTACGCCGAGTTCGTTAAAAAATGTGTGCAATGTCAAAAGCATGGAAACCTCATCCACGCGTCGGCCGCCGAGTTGCACAGTATCAGCTCCCCATGGCCGTTTGCGTTATGGGGCATAGACGTACTTGGACCATTTCCCGTGGCAAAAGGGCAGGTCAAGTTTCTTTTGATCGCAGTAGATTATTTTACAAAGTGGATAGAAGTCGAACCGCTCGCCTGCATCTTCGCAGCCAATGTCCAGAAGTTCGTTTGGAAAAATGTGGTTACCCGCTTCGGCATCCCGTATGCCATCGTTTCGGACAATGGCCTTCAATTCACTGACAAGAAATTCAACACTTTCCTTGAAACCCTCGGCAGTCGGCACCGATTCACATCAGTTGAGCACCCTCAATCAAACGGGCAGGCCGAAGCAGCCAACAAGGTTATACTCACTGAACTCAAGAAGAGACTCGGTTCGACAAAAAGAGCATGGGCCGAAGAGCTAACGGAAGTCCTTTGGGCATACCGATGTACACCACAATCAACCACCAAGGAGACCCCTTTTCGCCTAACATACGGCGCGGACGCGATGATCCTGGTTGAGGTGGGGGAACCGTCATTCCGGCGACAACACTTTCATGAGGAGTCTAACGACAGTTCACTCCGAGCCGAACTTGATGTTCTCGATGAAGTACGAGAGAAGACACAGGTAGTGGCCGAAGCATGCAAACAACGCATGACCCGACGCTTTAATTCCAACCTAAAGCCGAGGACATTTCATGAAGGCGATCTCGTATGGAGAGCAACCGGGTCGGCAAGGCGCAACTCATCCGAGGGAAAGCTCGCAGCCAACTAGGATGGCCCGTTCCGGATACGGCATGCCCTCCACAATGGAGCTTACAAGTTAGAAGAATTGTCCGGCAAGGTCATCCCTCGGACATGGAATTCTACTCATTTGAAGACCTATTACAATTAGAATTTAACGAATGTACATCTGAAAATGTCTAATGATGCACTCTTTTCCTCGAACCGGTCTTTTTTCCTCTTAAAAGATTGTGAAAAGAGGTTTTGGCCGGCAAGGTTTTTAACGAGGCATCCACTCAATCAATAACAAGACAGTTCAACTATCTATGACTTGTTTTACATTTCTGCGATTTTATTTCCCTCCCAAGATGTCTCTCGGCCAAGGATGTGGCTTTAATTATTTTACAAGTCTTCCCTCCCGAGATGTCTCTCGGCCAAGGATGTGGCTTTAATTATTTTACAAGTCTTCCCTCCCGAGATGTCTCTCGGCCAAGGATGTGGCTTTAATTATTTTACAAGTCTTCCCTCCCGAGATGTCTCTCGGCCAAGGATGTGGCTTTAATTATTTTACAAGTCTTCCCTCCCGAGATGTCTCTCGGCCAAGGATGTGGCTTTAATTATTTTACAAGTCTTCCCTCCCGAGATCTCTCTCGGCCAAGGATGCGGCTTACATCAATTCTTACGTGTTTTCATCACGAAAAAAGTAAATTTTACACCAATATATAACAGCAAGGAAAATCTAAATTCATTTAACAAGGCACTATCGGCCTAGAAAAGTACATTAAAAAAGGGCGCTATCGGCCCATCAATACAAAGAACAACAAAAAGCTTAAGACCCCACCTCCGGTTCCCCCTAAACCGAACCATCTTCAGGCGCACCCCCTTCATACGCCGTCACCTCCTCATTCGGCTCAGCTTGTCGTGTCGGGGCTTCCTGGTCGGCCTGTTGATCTGGAGGGATGGAAGTCAGGTCCACCAACTTCCCCTGGAAGAAGTCCTTTGTCATATCAAGGTGAAATTTAGGGGGGAAGTCGCCGAAAAAGCATGCTTGTCGAGCCGCCTGGGCAAAGCCAGCCTGATGCTGAGTGAGGACCTTGTTGCACGCTTTCTCCTTATAAGCCCCAAAAGCAATCTTCTCAGCATCCAACTCCTTACCCAGAGCAGCAACCTTCTCTGTCTCGCTCTTCAAGGCAAGCTCAAGGCGCTGAACCTTCAAAGCCAGGTCGTCAGTAGTTCGCCCCCGGCGATCCATCTCGGCCTGATATTTGTTGTTGGTCGTTTGGGCGTCAGTAAGCGCCGCCAGCGTCTCTTGGAGAGACTTCTCCTGCTCAGCTAGTTGCCGACGCAGTGCATCATCCTCGCCGTTCGGCTCCATCACGATGCTTTGTGCCAAGGCCACAACACGCACTTGGAACTCACAGAAGAAGCTCCATTTCTAAGCCGAGGTCATGCGACTCAGCACTCCTTGACCCGATTCGGAGGTCAAGTCTTGGCTCAGAAAATCCTGAGCGTTAACATTGCTAGCCAAAAAAATTGGTCCAGCCAGGCCTTTTGGAACAGTTGGACCAGCCACACGGCGCTGCTTAGCCCGATGGCTCTCTTCCTCGGCCCTTGGGTCAGGCCTTCTTTTTTCGGGCTGGGGCCGGGTGGGCTTCCTCAGTTTTCCCGTTGGCCCCGCCCCACCACCTTGGGCAGTTGGTTGATTCCCGCGCACGCCGGCCGGGGTCTTGTTCGCAGTGGTCGCCGCCACTTGGTTCCTGATCAACGTACGAATGTCTAGATCGT